TGTGAAAAAAAGCTGATTTTTCAAAGCTGGGTTTTGCAGCTTTGTGTTTTTGGCTTTTTTTCATCCAAAACTGTGAAAAAAAAATGAAGTTGAATGTTTACCAAACATAAAAAAGCTCCCAGCTTTTTTTTATAGCCACTTTTTTCAGAATCACCTCAGTACCAAACTAGGGCTACATTATCTACAAATTCACAAGGTAGTATACCATATGTCATAATAGAAGTGGAGAGACATTGAAAACTATATTCAAAAGTGGAACATATCAACACTCTTATCTGCATATGTTGTACCACGTGGTGTACCAGCTTTTATTATAAGTACACAAAACACAGCCTAGGTCTTTGTAATTATAGTTTATCCTTTTTTTTAGAACTAGTTATTAAGTCTAATATTTTGACTTAATTTGTTATCAAAAGTGTTAGTTACCTAAAAATATGGGCTATGCATCTAGCACATCATCACGTAACGGTCAATTTAAAATTAGACAAAAATCTGAAGGTATAAAATGTAATTTACCCCACATATAAAATTAGGGATAACTTGATATTGATCCAATTTTGTGAGTCATTAGTAGAATTAGTCCACTTCATTGAAATAGGTCCAATAATTGAGACTCCACGTATGCTTATTTGTGGGTTGTACCATATTTACCCCTCAGGCTTGCGAATTGTTGTAAATACACAAAATTTCTTAATTATGGGATTATTTGTCGTTTAACTAATCCCTTAATTGTAGGATTAGTTGTAGCCATATAATCACCTTAACCCCCAGTCCGTTTCATCCCTCATTTTTTCCTTCTTCCAAACAATTCCCTCTATCAATCCTCCTCTTTTTTGTCTTTTCTTTTCATGGGTGATATTTTTGTGTTCTTCCCTCCAAATTCGTTCCTTTAATGGAGGTATATTATATCATATTTATATTTCTATGTTCCGCCATGTAGGTTCCCAGCATTTTTCTTCCAATACAATAGGTAGTTTATTTTGTTTTGTAGGTAGATTATATCTGCTTTGTAGGTATAAACATTTTTCTTACTATACAATAGGTAGGTAGTTACTAAATTATATCGGTTTTGTTTTCTTCATAAATAGTAGGTAGTTATTAGATAATATTTTAGTTTGAGTATTTAAATATTCAAAATTTAAAAACTGAATAAATGATAAAAAAAAATTAAAGAATTTAAATATTTTTATCTGAAGGGGCAAAATTGATATAAAAATATGTAATTGGATAACTGGACTCAGTCCGAAAAAACTACCTATGTTTTTGGACCTAGATCCAAAAGCCCCATAAAATTATATTAGTTTTATATTCTATTACCACGGTCGGTTGGTAATATAAGATTGCACGCATGGTTAGAGTAAAAGGGGAAAGCACAAAAACAGTGGGCTAATTTTCCACTTTTCCCTGCATGCCTTTTAAACTAACCCGGAAAGTGGCAACACAAAACTGCTGATTTTCGCCTCTGACTTAACTCACATTATTGCTTGTTAAAAAAAAAAAAAATTACTATGTACATGTGAGTTAAGTTAGTTGGCTAGAAACATCACAACCATGAATCAATATTTGTGGATTAGATCTCCCTTCCAAAAATGATTTGAAGTGGTTTTTCACACATTTTTCTCGCGTCAAGCCATCCTGTTTATTTCTAAATTTGAGTTGAATAAATTGAAAGACAAAATTAAATAGAAATGTGTTGAGTGTGCAACATGAAAAGAAAAAAAAAATGTTGGAAAATCATTTCTAGAAAAATAAATATCGCCCATTCAATTAATTTGTACTATTTTTCTTCTAGAAATACAACTTCGAATTTTCTAAAACTCGAGTTTGATTTTTTATAGCTATTTTCAAGTCGTTATTATACGTGGCTTGTAGATGAATCGTGAACCCAACGTACGGCCCGGTGGGCTTGATGTGGTCTGGGAGCTCGGACCAATGCCAGACAGCCGTTGATGCAGTTCTTGAAGGATCGCCCATCACAGGAATTGATGCGGATGCGCTGCAGCAGAACACGAATCCGAACCTAGATCCTCCTCACAAATACGGGGACATACGCCACGTGTCTACGGACACAAAACTCGGGCGGTTCGTCTCATAACAAGGCAAGAACCCGGAACAAGTTGAAAAGGTCCATGAACCGGCCCAAAATCCAACCAGATTTTGCAATCGGGTCAAACATCAATAATTTGGCACCAATCTGCAATGTTCCCGACCCGGATGACTTGTACCCGAGTCCGCAAGGAAACGGGTCTAGCGGAAATCAGCAAGCTGCTGATGATCGAGATGGAGCGGTAGGGTTGGAGCTGGAGTAACTCTTGGTCTTGGGTTACCTCTTCCAACCAATGTTAATTAATTAATTTATTATCAAGATGTGGATGGTTGTGGGAATGACAACTGGATTAGCAAATGTTTTTTTCTTTTTATTTTGATTAAAATCGATATAACATTACAATCTTGAAAACGATTAGGAAATGTTTGAAGAACGAGAGAATAATGGTAGAATTTGAGTATGATGGGAGTTAGAATCGGTCAGTGTGTTTTAAATTGATATGGAAATGTTAGAATTGGTTAGTGTATTTTAAATTGGTATGGAAATGTCTTATTAAAGAGTTTAGGGTGAATTATCAATTTAGCTCCTGAATTATCATCTGAGTAAAAATTAGTACCTAAATTATTTTTCAGAAAAATCAGTCATTGAATTATAAAAAATCTGCCAATTACATCCCCAATATTAGATTCAAAACTACTATATTCAATTTTTCGTCAATTTAAGTCACGTTACTTGCATGTGATACACATTAGAGGGTAGATTGATAATTTTTTCATAAAGAAATAGTGTACGGAGTTAACTTTGGAGGGTGAATTGGACGTTAGATTCGCAACCTATATGAAATGTTAAGGGCTTATAGGTGAGGAAATGATAGTATTACACTCTAAAGTATGTGAAGTGACTTAAGTTAAAAAAAAATTAGATAAAATAGCTTTGAATATAATAGTAGAGAAGAAATTAGCAATTTTTAATGAATTTAGGGACTTATTTTACCAAAATAAAATAAAATCCGAGACCTAATTTTCACTGAGATGATAGTTCAAGGATTAAATTGGCACTTCACCCAAGAGTTTAAAATTGTCCTAATCAGTTTGGGATTAAAACTTTAAATGAATCCTGATACTTTGCACTCATAGTTGAATTGGAATTGTGTGTCAATTTTCTACATGGATTTATATAGAAGAATTAGAATGATTGTTTCAATATAAATAGTGATCAGTGCTCTTACAAAAAAAAAAAAAAAAAAAGAGCTCATTATTGGATTTAGACCTTGTAAGTCAGCATATTATTTCTGTTAAAGAAGAGAAACTTACTATTGAAGTTGAGTATGAGTTCATATTTTTCGTTTGTTAAAAGTCAGATTATTTCTTACAGATTAGGCAAGCTGAAGTGCTGAACTTATACATGCAAAACTTATGCAGAACCAAAGTTCTATCAAAGCCTAGCTACCTTTCCCTCGATTTCAAGAATTGGAGAGAGCCAACCCCCGATATAACACCCCCTCTCCTTCGTAGACCCAACTTAATTAGCCAAAATAGAAGAAACATGCATTGCAATCATCAAATATATAAACCCCTATAGGCTATAAGAGCAGTTCCAGCGTTGGAACCCTCCCCCCAGGCAATACACTATACTATCCACCCAGTGAACAGTAACTGCCCTTAATGAACAGTAACCGTCTTTTGCATCTCCACAGTTGCACTTCAATAGCCCTGACAATAGACAATAAAATATTAATATTTTTTTTATATTTATAATTAATATTATATTATTTAATTTATATAAATTAATATTACATTATTAATTTATCTTTTCTAAGCTCTTCGCGAAACTTCTACCATTTTTGTTTTCTTCTTCCTTCCCACTCTCTCACTCCCCTCTTCCTCATTGTTTTCCCTTTCCGAGAGCTCTCACCCACTTTCCTCTTTGAAAATTAAACAAATCAAACTCCTAAACCATGAAACCTTAATCTCTGGGACTAAAGGATCCTAGCTATACCGTTGCATGCATCATCGGACCATCATGGTGTAAACCACCATTGAAGCCGAGTTGGAAGCAAGTGAGTCGCCGGGAAGGAGTGAAGGAAGCGAAGGAAAAGCCCAGGCGAGAAGCTCAGGCGAACCTCAGCGTGGATAGCGAGGGTCTGATTGAAGACGCCATGAAAATTATCCGCACCATCTCTCTCTCTCTCCCCTATGTGAACTTGAAGACATTGTATTGTTTTGGGAAGAAAAGGAGACAGAATAAAGAAATGGGAAGGCCTGGGGGTATGGTGGAGTCATTGGCGTCGGCGAGAAGCTCGCCCTCCGTCTCCGGGATATCGACATCAAGATTGACCTCCACGAAGAGCTGTCCAGGCCCGTCCACCACGTGGCTGATGTCGCCTAGACGTCAGCTTTGTGTCACATGCCCTTCGGGCTCTCGGGTTGGCAACTCCTGCTGGGCCTTTCCCTCGGGCCTGCTCAGGCTCTATCGCCAACACACGCTAGACCAAGTTGCTCGGGCTTTCTCGCCCTGCTTGAGAGCCAGTCCACCGGGCTATTGCCCACGGTGGAACTGCTCTAAGGCTACCACGGAGTGAATTCGCATCCAAATTATTGGATGCAAATAATTGTTTTGTTTTTTTGGGTATGAAAATTGTTACAGTTACTAACAACGAAACAAGCAGAGCCTACATCCGTAAAATTGCCTCTTCGGATCCTCTTTATGAGGATCCTCTCCGGATCCTCAAATAGTATCCGTTTGTCGTATATCGTGAGGTCAGTTTTCGTCCGATACTATTCATATTTAATTTTTGATAAAAATATTTAAAATGATTTATGACCGCACGATTTACAATAAATGAACACGATTTGAGGATCTCTAGGATCCTCACAAAGAGAATTATGAGAGGATCCTCATTCCATAAAATTTAGACCCATGAGCTATATATATATATATATATATATTCAACTGAGTCAAAAAGATTTATTTAAATAATAATTGATGTACATGCTTGTGCATGTATACACAAACTCAAGTTTACTATGAGGTAAACTTATGGACTCAACCACCGGGCCGGAGGGACGTTCATTTGGCAAGCACGGGAAAAGCAGATCCTGCAAAGGATGCTCTCTTGACAAACCTCCCTTTCATTCTTGGCCTCTTCTCGGCATTCAGTTTCCGAACTTCGTACCTTATTTTCTTCGAGAACAGCCGTGTCCTCCTCTTTTCTCTATATCTCGACACCCTCGCCTCCCTCCCTCCGTCCACCATTGCCGGGTGAACTCCAAGCCCGTTCATTTCCCCATAAGGATAATGAAGTTCAGCTCCACATGCACCCTGCAAGGTTCACAAACATATGAGTTAATTAAACAGATATTAATTGTTCTATTTATTGTATCCCTCCACATACATAATCAATTATCGAAATTTTATTTTTTGAACAAACGATCAATTATCGAATTTGAACATAAAATTTCTTTCACTTACATATGAGATTTGAACTGAAATTGAACCTCATATCCATATGACTTTTACTTTATACGAAAGGAAAAGTATTGAAGATTTAGGGCGGTAAGTACAAACCATGTAGTCAGGCAAGCATTCGGAGTCGAAATCCGGGCGGTCACCGGAGGTCCACGGGGAGCCATCCCAGGCTGTAATCACCGCCTCGTAATCCAGCCTCAAAATCATCTTCCTCTTCTTGCTGTTATCTCTTGCATCGTCGTCCGCATCCTCACGTTCATGATCTTCTGTACTACACTTACTATAGGATCCCACTCTCAGTTTATCATCCTGCTCGCCGCACGATGCAGGCGAGTCATCGTAATCTTCAAAATTCAAAGCAAACGGCTCCCTCATCATGTCAATCTCACTCTCCCCTAATTGGCACCCCATAAAATCAACGTCGTCTGTTCCCTCTTGATCATCATCCTCCTCAAGCTTCACTCTACCATTCGATTCCTTTTTTTTACAATCCATAAACCCTAACCTTTCCATCCCAAAACACTCATCATCATCAACGCCTCTCCCCAGCAAACTATCCACGTCAGCCGCGAACTCCGCAAGATCCATGTCGCTCGGAAGCGGAAATCCATCGTGGCAATTAAAATTCGGCAACGACGAAACTGCTTTTGATTCGATTCCGACATGATCAGAAACAGTACTAAGATTGTTAGCTTCATAATTAGCAACTGCATCTTCGTTAGAATTACCAGAGTTATTGCACAGCTCCGCAACAAACGGATCGAATATCGGAACCCTATAAAGCAGCTGTTGGTCCTCTTTATTTTCTTCATCGTACGAGTTAATATCATCTCCCCCAACTTCCGGAACCTGCGGAAACAGGTTCCGAACGCCTTCCTCGGATTTTCCATGATGTGTCATGGACTTACCGCCCCGCGGTGTCCGTGCCTTCCGCGTGAACCCCCGGTGCCAAGACGGTGCCGCTGAGGTCTCCGAAACAGCGCTCGCTCGATCATCTTTGTTGCTAGGTTTGAGCGACGACGCCGTCTTCAAGAGAACCCTTTTGTGCCGATGGGCCAACTGGTTGGCGGAGTGCACGGCGGAGTCGCAGGCTTGGCATAAGAAACCGTCGTCGGCAGCGCAGTACCAACGAGCTCTCTTTTTTATGCAGCTGTCACACGCCCGGGCAGTTTTTCCGCCGACGGCGTGTGCCACTTTCTTGCTAGAATTCATCAAAGAAAACAAAATTCGACACAAAATTTGAAATCCCAAAAGCTTTTTCTGAGAGAGTACAGTTAAATAGTGCGAATTCGAGAGTAGCAACTGTCTGATAAAATGCACTTTTATATAAGTGAAGAGCGCAAGAAATAATTAGGGCTCGAGTGCCTGCCCCACAACCGGCGCTTTTACAGAGCATAAAACAGCGAAGGCCAGCTCTTGGATCTGCACTTTTGGGGAGGAGAGAGAGAGGAATGTACTTTCGGGCCCGCAGAGAGGCTTATCTGTTTCCCAATTGGTCGAGTTTACAAATTCGATCCGAATCCCGAGCTTCCCATTGGCTAGTTCTCCTCATCGACAGATTTCTTGTTTCGTAGTAGATACGGGTCCCATCTCTCACTTTCTTCTTATCCGAATTGTAAAAAGACCGTTTTGTTAGTTTTTCATCCCTGCCCCATACAGTCCATCAGTACTAGTTTAAATTTCAGAGTTTTGCATTCCCTCCAGCATTGTGGTCCTCCCATGATCCACATGTCCTCTAAAAACGGCTTGGCTTCTATCCATCGTAAAGAATGTAGATCCTCTTTGTGAGGATTTTGGGATTCTCAACACGTGTTTGTTCATCGTACATCGTGCAGTCAGTTTTCGTCAGATATTATTCATATTTAATTTTAAATCAAAGTATTTAAAATGATTTCTGATAGCACAATGTACGATGAACGAATATAATTTGAGAATTCCTAAGATCCTCACAAAAAGGATTCGGAGAGGATACTCATTCCATCGTAAATCCTCTTTGGAGCGTGATAGGAGCAATCATCTAATAATTAATATCAGTCCTCGTGCATAAAAATCTTTTTTTTTCACCCTAGAAAGGTAGTACTCATTAAAACAAAAACACAGGATAATGTTAAAAAGACTAAATTTGTAGATAAAATTTGCAAATCAAAAGTTGTTCATAAATAAGAATGAACACGTTTTTCGATGCTTAAAGTCATATCCAATCACCAATTTTCATGTCATTTAGTTTACAAAACTTTGTCTGTAAATTTAGTTTCTCTAGTATTACCTAAAACATAGATCTAACTCTAACAGTGAATTGTGGTATTGCTGCGTATATAACTCTCAAATTCTATGCCGCTTTTATCATTTAGATTACAAGTTAAGTTTGTGTAGGAAGTGATTTATCGAACTTTTATTTTCTTTTTCAAGTTGATGGATAAAAAGTCACTCTAGACTAGTAGTAGAAATAGATGGGTTGGATTAAGAAAATGAACACAGCCAATTGAGGCACGACCTTGACATACAAAAAATGTTTGAAAAGAGAGGTCGTTGATGATTAGTGGTTTGAATTCACACATCGCCTAGCCAGGGACGAATCCAGAGATTTGTATGAGCGAGGACATCCTCAAACAACAAAGTCACAATTAAAAATCTCAAGAATTTATTGAACAAAACACTAATATATTAATTTATAAAGTTTTTCATACAACATATTACATTATTCCTCGAATCGTTTTCATGTTTTGAAAGCGTTGCATAACAATATCATTACCAATACCATTAAATATCTCTTTATATAAAAATAATCATGTTATCATTCATCCATTGATCTCTAAATCTAAAGTCTAAATTGAAATGCCAAAAACAAATTAATGAAGTAAAGTCGTATAAAATACCTTGTGGAGTAAAATTCTTGTGTTGAATTTTGATAATTGATTACTAAAACTCCAACTGTCTATAACACTCCAAATTCATTTGAGTTTTGGTTGAATAAAAGGGGAGGAAAAATCTGGAGAAGTTGAGGACTGGAATTGCTTTGCTGTACGTGGTGGGATGAGTTTTGTGTAGATTAACGACCTAGGGTTAGAAAAAAGGGAAGGCACAGTTAAATTAATTTTTAATTAAATTGTCATCAGGGAGGGCATTTGGGATCCAAAACGGTAGACTAGTTTAGTTGCCTACCAATTTTTTTAATTGTAGTTTAATTAGGGCTGGTTATTGAGAATTGGAATGCAATCATACATTTTTTTAAAATGAGTTGGGGCATCCGTCCCCTAGGCCTACACTAGCTCCGTCCTTGCTCCTAGCTAGTTAATTAGATAAAAGGATAAGTAATAACTATGTATGAATAAAAGGTGATGTGGAGATCGCATAAATTGCAGAAGATTACCGCAAGGGCCAAAAGGTCGTTGAGAATTGAGACTTTTCTCCGAGAAAAATATGTCGACATAGTATTATTATTCCTTGTTTTTGTTATGTTGAAGGGGACTTGTGTGTAGCTATCCCTGTGTGTAGGACCTAAACAGTAATAGCCCATCCCTCTCCATCTCTGTCTAAAATAATTTTAGAATCTCACTCACTTGTGTATGTTTGTCTACAACTGTACAACATGTCAACATGTATGTATGGGATAAGGTTTGGTAACATATTTTGTAATATTAGGTATTGGTATGCGTATGGGAGAAAATGATGAATGAAGGATTAAGGGAGGAGTAGGAGAAACGGAAGATAATATGTCAGAACAAAAATCTGAAAGTGAAAACAACTTAAAATTATTATCGGTGTTTAGTTTTTAAATTTTATATTGTGTGTCATTGCACTTACATTTCTTTATCTACCTTCCTTTACGTACTTCATTTCTGCTCTCTACCACATAACGAAAAACAATGACAAATGTATTGACTTCTATTGGATTTTCCAAAAAATATTTCCCACCACATGAATTTAAGAAGGGATATTGCTAACCCATTTTTACATTCCACACACTCTTGTTATTTTTTGGACATTGATCATTTTCTTCAATCAGACAGCCGAAATTTGAGAGTGTGTGGATAACACTACCCTTTGAGAAGTAATATAGGACTCATCAACTAGTGAGTTAGAGAACTTCAATTGTGAAAGAAATGAAAAACCAAACGATGTACATAACTAATCAAATAGATAATATCAACAATTCAAAGTATCTTTTCTATACAACTATATATTTACATTAGGAGTGCGGATGTGGTATCACACTGAGAGAGGAGAATTTGGGTTGTCAGGCAATGAACCCATCACAATAGATTATATTGAACTCGTCATTCATGATATTCAAACTTAAGACATTGATAGGTGAAAAAGAATGCTACTAGACTACAGTAATAAGTGCATAATTTAAAATATAATGTTGGGCTATTGTTGAAGTCCACCTTTACGTCAATCACTGGGCCTAAGGCCCATATTGATTTGTGACATTTTAAGGTCAGCCAAGAAGGCCCATTAACCATAGAACCTAAGAACGTTAAGCTGGAACTTTGAAGGGGCAACAAGGGCAATTTCGTCATTGAGAAATCCAATCGCCTTGTTGGGTGTAGGGTTGGTTGGCAATCTGCTGAGCTGCTGAGGCAAACCAGTGTTCCCGTCCAAGATCAGAGGCTCGCGCTCGGTCTAAAGGCTCAACCTTTGTAAGTTTTTGCTTGAAACGGTGTCGTTATTTGTCAATTTACAGCTAGCTTTGCAACTTTCTTCGCACTCTGTAATTTTGCTCACCTGCATATATGGATAGATGTTATCTTCGCCATTAATTTTTTTCGCATGAAATTATGGATACAGCTTTAATTTTACTTAATCAAACTTTAACGTTGGAATTTGTATTGACTCTAATTTTCCTTCATTAATTATATCTGATTATGGAACTCCCAAGTGCAATTATGCAAAAGCATGTTTCCAGCTTTAAGAATTATACTTCTAAGTGAAAGTTTTGGACGTTTTAGAGATTGGAATGCAGAGTTGTAGTTGATGTAATCGAAAACACAGAAACCATTGATGCAGTTCAAAGAGGAATTCGAGGGTAGTAAGTTATTATGCAGAGTGAATTATGCACTTGGAGGATGTCAAAGACCTTCCGTAACAGTTTTTGAACGAAAGAGGGAATTCGGGTTCACATTTTGTCACCGAAGATGGTTCCATAGGTTTGCCGATAAAGAGGAATTCGAGGATATATAGTCCTTTTTTCTACTAGGATGGGATTCTATATATATGTATTAGAGTTAGTTCGTTGCAAGTAGTGAACTGATCGCACTTAAGATGGACGTTCATGATTTAATATTTTGTAGGTGTTGTTTGCGATTCGCAAGATCAATTCAGATTATTGATTACGCTCCTAAGTTAGAAAAAATAAGGATGATTAAGCAATATTCTCTACATCGATGCGTATTTAAGTGCTTAGTGTTGAATTACTTTGAGGAGCTAATTTGACACCGATATATGAGGTTTTTATTTCTCTTTGAAAGAAAGAGATAGGAGTTCATCATTTGAGGTTATTTAATTATCATGTTTAGCCGACGTGTTTGAGACTTGTTACCTTTTAAAGTATTGATCCGTGATCTGATGGAAATGGAATCCATTGTAGTACTCCATACATCTTAAATGGCGTCATTAAAACAATCGAGGAAGCATGGAATCAATGAAGAGCAAGGATTTTACGTATATTTCCATTCAATTCTTTTGTTTCAGCAGCTCTGTTCCTTGAACAGCTGGATCAAGGATGATGTTTCATCTTCTGTCCTAATTTATGTCTCCCTTGATCATACTGAACTAGTGTGATGATGGCATCAATTCTGCAGGATCTCCTGATGTCAGGGAGAAACCGTGTGTCTTGCCATTCTAACGGTTATCGAGGTTATCGTGATGATCCACGACCTGTTATGAACAGAGGGCTGGGACCCTTGTCTATTCACCTTGCAGCTTTGGAAGAACAACTTGCTGTGCAGCATAGAGAAATGCAGCGAATTATTGCTGAGAACCGGCTTGTAATTGAAGATAATACCCTTCTTCAAAGGCAATTGGCAGATGCGAAAGATGAAATTCATAGATTGGGGCAGGCCATACCTAAAATCCGGGCTGAGAAAGAGGCGCAGTCTCAGGAGTTGATTGAGAGAGGATTGAAGCTAGAAGCCGATCTCCGTGCTACAGATCCTTTAAAGGCAGAAGTTGTGCAGTTAAGAGCTGAAGTTCATAAATTAAATAATTTACGGCAGGAACTGTCTTCCCAAGTCCAAGGTCTGACACAGGACGTTACTCGGTTGCAAGCAGAGAATCGGCAACTAATTGCCATGAGGGCTGATATTGATGGGATGCGAAACGAGCTTTTCGAGACCAGGTTTTAACAAAGCATTTTTAATTAGTTTAATAGCCAAAATAGTATCTTGCTCTTCTTTTCCTTTTTAGGAGATGGGTGCACACATTAGGAAAACGCTTAATGCATTTCCAATTACGATAGCTGCTGCTCTTTTGTCTGCATATTTGGATTGACTATGCAACTTTTTTAGGAGAGCTTATGAATTTGAGAGGAAAGCCAATGAAGAACTAGTTGAACAAAAGCAAGCAATGGAAAAGAACCTCGTTTCCATGGCTCGTGAAATAGAGAAGCTAAGAGCAGAGCAGCTGAATGCAGACAGGAGGGCACGAGGACTAGGTGAATCTTCCTCTTTCTCACTCTTTCTCACCCATGTGCGCACACACACTAACACAGAGAACTCTAGCGCTCATGGACCTCTTACTCCGGCAGGCAAGTTGTTTTGACTGCTCTCATGTTTATGTATAGGTGGTGGGGGTTATGGAATGATGAATGGAAGTCCCGAGATGAGATATTCAGGTCGTCCATATCACAATGGCCATAGTACTGGTTGGGGACCCTATGATAAGCGTGGATCACGGCATTAAGTTGTCCTAAGAATATCAAATGCTCTGGAATTGGTAAAAGAAAAGAGATCTTGGCCATGTATTTATTTTTTTTACTTACGACAAGATGAGATGTAGTAACTAGGAAGTGAGTAGTAGGCAAGATAAATGTGTGAAGGGGAAAGCGGGGTTGTGTCTTAGGGTCCGTATTGGAAGTAAATATGGATAAATTAGTATCATTTTAAGGGGGTTTTTAGATTGCTTCTGGAATGATTACTGATTTATGACAATCAAAACCCCTTTAAACTAGTTGGATAGTAGAATTTGTAAGTGTTGGCTCATAGAAGTTCCAGGGAAACTGAAAAGATCAGCAGCAGCAGCTGAAAAGACCAATAGGCCCAACATACTAGTGGTCTAGGAATAGAACTTTGCTGCTGAAAAGATCAGCAGCAGCTGCTGATCACCAATCACGGTTAGACAAGTGGTCAAATTTGATTAAAAAATCAAATACTTGGACGTGTCCAACCGTGATTGGTGATTAACAGCAGCTAAGTCCAGTTCTTGGTCTAGATTGGATGCCATGTCCCAATATGTGCAGTGGAAATTTGGAATTAATTATTTGCCATGGGCCGAGTAGGGCCGGCAACATTGCTGCTGGATCCATATATCTGCCATGAATCACTACTTAGTCTCCATCGTGGACGGTACTAACATGCTCTGTTTTAAATTAAAAGAAAAAAAGATAAGGAAAATATCAATAAAATCTAGGCCAAAAGTTATTTTTGTGACCATTTATGTTAGAGAAAAGAAGAAAGAAAAAGTTGAAAGGGAAATGTTAGAGGTAATGTGGATGATATTTTTGCATGCAAGTATGCAGACACCCAAATTAACTGTTTTACAGTTTACTAGCCAAGTCTTTCTTATACGACAGTTAATTGGGGACGACAGTTCATGGCATGCATACCATCATGGTTCCACAGTCTCGTCGTTGGCAATGGCCAGTGCTGGCTCGCCACTGTATAATTGTTGTAATATTAATGGCATGTGCAGCTCTGCGTATTTATTTAATAACTTCTACACCCTTGCATCCACAACCATGAAGTCATTCACCAGTATACACAGGCATACACTCAGCGTTTCAATTGGCCAGATAACGAAATTAAAGAGAGACGACCAATATGGCAGCAATGAAATCCCCACTATATATATTATATATAAAAAAATTAGAAATTTGTAGCTGAAGCCTGAACCAATGGACAGATGAACGCGCACACATACATATATGTAGGGTTTTTTTTTTTTTTTTTCACAGATGGTCTTTGAAATTGAAAATCAATCAATGTAGCTCTTGAAAATAGGTGTGGCAAATCAATGTAGTCATTCTGTCACAATTTTGTTAAAAATTCAATTAAGTGCTGATGTGGCACATAAATGGGCCTTACAAGATTTACGGGTTTTTATCATAAATGGTCATTGAAATTGACCCGCACCATCAAGATGGTTCTTGAAATTGAGCCACGCTATCAAGATGGTCCCTGAAATTGAAAATCGATCAATATAGTCCTTGAAAATAGATGTCACAAATCAATATGATCATTCCGCCATAATTTTATAAAAAAATTGTTATGTGCTAATGTGGGTTTAATAATTAATTAAAATAGTTGTCTAAATACCTTTTTACACAAGGAATTTTTTTTTCCTTATATTAGGGCCTACTCTGAAGAGAGATCCCTTTCATAAATTCTCAAAGGTAAGAGGGGGTGTGGAAATAGTTTTCAACCAACAATAGACGCATATCGGGTATAACCTCATTATCTCAAGGCAGACCTCGATGTTCTTTGCATCACCAGACTACCATAGAAGCGCCGAACAAGCTCTTCAAGATTAAGGTTGTGAGGATGTTGATCGCCTAAATGTTAACGGTGATGTTCTAATTAGACTTGTATGACTCATTTATGTGTCACATCAACACATACAAAATTTTTGACAAAATTGTGACGGAATGACTACATTGATTTGAGACACTTGCGGAACTACATTGATCAATTTTCAATTTCAGTGATCATTAATTTTGATGTTGTGGGTCAATTTCAGGGACCATTTTGATGTCCCGAGTCAATTTCAATGACCATTTGTAAGAAAAAATTATTTATGAGGTCCATTTATGTGTCAAATCAGTACTTAACATAATTTTTAACATAATTGTGACACCTAGGACCAAATTGATTTGCAACACCTATTTTCAGGAACTACATTGATTGATTTTTAATTTTAGGGACCATCTTGATTGTGAAGATCAATCTTCAGGACCATTTGTGATAAAAACCCATATATATTAATACAAATTTATATATGTCTTAATCGATCATCTGTCACCAGTCTGCTGGTCCCATGCATTGCCAATAATCAATCCAATATATATATATATATATATGTTTGCATAAATTAACTGGGAACACACTCATAAAGTTATAATCCTTGATTTTCAGCGCTTCACATTCGGGAAGAACAGCCCTAATTTTCAATGATTCAGTTAATTACTGAAAATAATCATCTGTTGGCAATAAGTAAGGGCACAATATATGTTAACTAAGTTTCTACAGCATTTCAAGAGTATTAAATACCAAATTTTTAGAAATTTACAGCTTTAATTGGACAAGAAAGATTAATTAACCATGCATCCATATTAACCTCGTTTGTAGATGATGAAAATTTCGAGGGCTAGCCGCTTCCATGGATCTGCTTATTAATCCAGTCACGAGATATGGATCATTCTCTCCGTGTGTGTGTGCATGTATATATACACTCACATATCTAACTTTAATTTATTAATGTGCATTTGTTTACCAGAAAGTTCAGGCTTCAAATGCTTTCACGCACTTAGTTTACATGTAGCTAGGGTTAGCTAACCCAGAAATTAGCTTTTCCCTCCTATGAAAGATTTCCTTTCATATTTTGGACCAGTAGACCCGCAGAATACACGTATAACCCGCCAGGCGCCACCAACTCTAGCTACTACGCATGCACGGGGCCAGAAGCTTCATAGCCTTAAATCCAGGACCTCTTATTTTATCCTTTCCAATTTGGTGGTCCTCAAAGTCCTTGTTTATTACTTAATTGGCCGGCATGTTAACTTGTGGAATAAACGGAACAAAAAGATACAGGAACATTATCAGTACTAATATCCATCAAGAATCACATAAAGTGACATATCACTGATCAATCTCCTTTTTTTTTTTTTTTTCGTTTGTTTCCCTTCAAAACGTTAGACGGGTAATATTAAATACAAATAGAAACATTTACGTCAGATGTCAAAGTAATAGACAACTAAATCGTATCCAGCACACTTCAATTCAAACATGCTTATTCTCTACCTCTATTGATACAAATGTGAACAGAAAAAACTTTTCCATGAATGAAAGGTGTATAATTAACCTTATTCTCTATCATCATCGTCGTCATAGTGGTCATCTGCCTCAAGGTTCATTTATGATCGAGACAAGTTTTCACTTCGAGGAGGATAAAAATGATTTCGACAGATGTAATATTTATTCCAGTCAAACGGTACCTTGAACAACTGTGTTAGTTTTGCATCAATATCAGCGGCGGAGTTGGTTGCCCTCCATTTATTTTCAGAAAACAACCAATGCGTGGTATCTGCAAATCCAGCCTAGCTAGCTATCACTTCATCTTTGACGATCATCCTATCCCGTTTCTTGTTACGTCATATCTTTACAATTTAAAACCAAATCAAATGTTGCTTAATTTGGTTCGGGTTCTAGACCGCTCTCGGGTAGACACGGCAGACACGTATTAGGTCATCGATGGCGCCAATTCATTAATGTATGATACCAAATTAAAATAAAATGGCAGCACGTACTGGTCAAGTGTGACAATCACGTATAGATGAAAGTTTGGAATGTTGAGTTAATGTTGTGTATCGTCATCAGTCGATGGTCTATTGAGTTTATAGCTACAGTATGTATATATGCAAAGTAAAGCCTAACAAAGACGAACCAAAATCAATGCATCACATGCTGGAAACCTAAATTTAAAGCCGTGGCAATCAATCAAAACAATCCCGCTGTACTTACAGATCGATGAATCCTATATATTTAGAGTTCACATCTTCTGCACTTATTTTGTCTGTGGCTTTTCTGTGACCTTTATTAGTGATTGCCGGTTTCTCTGTGACTTTTATTAGTGATTGACATGTGTTACTAAAATTAAGCTTCCTTAACTCTATTGTCATAAACTTAACATGTCAATCAACGGTGAAGACCGCAATGCTGAGGATTTGATCTCGTACATTTACAGAAGAAGAAAAAATCATTAATAATTGAGGATACGATACCACTTCCTTCCTAACATTTCTTTCGGTGTATAATCAATCAAATCAAAACCATCTCATGTTAATTTTGTATATAAAAGTTATCCTAAAATTTAGCGATCTTGACTGAGTTGAGATCTGTAATTTGTTAATAATTTAAAAATCCGGTAACAATAAGTTGTATTGTGTTTTCCTTACATGAAAGACAGTATTACATCGATCAAAACCATACTCGAGCCAAGGTTACAAATTCATATAGAAAGAAGATATGCCAATAAAGATAAAGAAAAGAAAATAGGGTTTTGCTATGACACATATTTAAACAGCTTGAAATGATTTTTGCACTTATACAGTATTTCTCCTTTCTTTTCTTGGGTTTTGCAAATCTTTCAAATGATGTGGCTGTGGTATAAAAACATGATATGAGTAGCATTACTCAATTAGTTATAGTTTTTAACTGGATCAAAGAAAAGGCACCACCAAAAAAAAAAGCAACCACCAATCCCATTCACCATTTCATTCTGAGCTTTGTTTGTTTGTTGTTTGCTTTGACTTTAGAGCTTGACCACCTCAGGAATATGAACCGGGTACTTATCGATGCAATCAGCCCAGGGCCCATCCGACGTTGTTGTGATGGTCCGATTGCACTTCCAGACAGCGCTGTTGCACTTAAACCCGCTCCCGAACGCAATCTGCCAAACCCTATCACCTTTTTTCATCCTACCCTTCGCCTCGATGTACCCCAACTCGTACCACAGCGACGACGACGACGTATTGCCGAACCTGTGCAGTGTCATCCTCGACGCCTCGCAGTGCTCCGCCGACAGCTGTAAATTCTTCTGCAGCTCGTCGATCACCGCCCTTCCGCCAGCGTGGATACAGAAGTGCTCGAACGCCTCTCGGAAATCAGGAATGTACGGCTTCCATTTCGGGTTCAAGATTTTCCGGCCGATGAGCCTGAAGAGAAACAGCAACTGCT